AGCGGGCCCGCGCCGTGCTCCCGCGGCCTGTGTCCCCGTCCTCGCCGAGCTGCGGCGTGGGGCCGCGGGCCCCCGGGAGGATCGGCCGCCGTGTCCCCCGCGTCGCCTGCCAGTGTGCGTGGTGGAGCTGTTGCTCGGGCGCGCGCGGGTCCCGAGATCTTCCCCCAGTCTCGTACGTGTTTGTTCTGCTGCCCTCTCGCAAGGGTAGAGCCCTGTGACTTCTGTCTAGTGCCACACCTTCAGAAAGCCGGCGGGTAATGGCCTCCAGCAGCGCCCTTGGCCGAGCCTGCTGCTTGCTGTAAACTGGCGTTTCCTCTTAATACCCAGGAATTCATGCAAAGGAGGTAACGTGCAGAAAACCCAACTTAGAGCTGTGTTTAGAAGCTGGAAGGAAAATAAGTGTTTAGAAGCAGCAAGCCTGATCCCCCAGTGTGTGTTGTTTTCTAGGTGTTAATTTTACAGAATTTCTGACTGAGTGACAGTAAAGTACAGAATGATGTAGCTTCATGCGCAGCACAGGACTTCTGTTCTATGCCGGATGGGTCAGATCATTACAGCCAGAAGTGTGAGCACCTAGGCGGAGTTCCGTGTTCTCACATTACAGGATAGAAATGAAAAACGCTCCAAATTTATTTTGTGCCATTGTTTCTGCGAAACACTTGTGTTCTTGTAAGGACGCTTCCAGATACAGCTGAGCAGCATCTTGGATCCCCTTTCTGCCAGAGGGCTCTGCTCACTGCGTTTTTCCATGCGGTGTTCAGTAAGTTATGATACAGAAGGTTAGAGTTTACTGGAAGTCTGAGGACCTTAGGGTAGCCCAATCCTTCTGCAGCCTTTGCAGAGATTATTCTCCTTTAGCCAGATATCTTGCTCATTCCCTTAATAAATTGATCTGGGTAACTTGATTGAGATTACCGCTTCTTATCAGCGGCTCATGGGATTTGATTGTCCTGAATACACTATTTCTTTTAACACAATTGATAATTTTTGTGGTCCCATCTTGACCAAGAAAAGTTAAAGGCACTTCCTACAAAAATTTTCACTTCTGGTTATATTATCCAGTACATTTTTTTATTCAGTAGTAACTACCATTTAAATAGAACATGGTCCTAGGTGTAAGAGTTTAACTTTTTAAAAATCTCTGGGCCTTCTCCAAATGTCAACAAAGTGATAATTTTTTTTTTTTTTAAAATATATTGACTGCTCCTATGTTGGCCGCAGGGCAAGCAGTCCCTTTAGTTGATAAATGTTTTTGCTAAAGTCATAATGTGCTAAATTATTGCTTATTCACTATTCTAAGAAATATTAGGTTTTGTTACTCGAGTTAAGGAGAGTAAACTACCGCTGAATTATAGTTGAACTGGCTTATTGATCTTTACAAGCAGGTTCCAGTGGCTTTCAGTGGCTTTTGTGGTGAGGCATTCCAGCAACACCAGGAAGCCTGAGAGTACAGAGGTCCATGAAAGGTTTGCTAGGTGGTCATTAGGCCAGAATTAAGGTGTGTGAATACTTGCGGAGTCAGTGAGATTCTAAGGTGTGCTGACTGCTACGCACTGCCTCAGACTTGTTGTTTTGTCTCCCTTCAGGAAGAAGACTTAGGATGCCTCTGGTGACCAAGCGACTCAGAGATCCTGACACAAATCCTTGCTTGTCGGTAGGGGGTTTGCTGTTTATTTTCATTTTGGGGGCGTCTGTTTTCTGCAGGTGTTAAATAAAGTTATTTGTGTAAAAACTGGTTGGCCAGAGTATTTTATTTCACTAGAGCAGTTTTAGATGTTCAGAATTTAGGTAAGATTCTTCCTTAAATTTTATTTGTAAATCACGCTTTGAGTTGTCACTGTAAAACTAAACAAGCATATGTAACACTTAGGAAAATCTTTAATCCAAACAGTGAAAGCTAGAATGTACCACAGTTTTAAATTACCACTGAAATTTTGTAGTTTTAATAGCAGTAATTTTATCATGTCCTTGAGACAATCTGGCTAACAGAAATTAATAGGCCTATAATAAAATTAGCCTGTTTTAAGCCTTAAGATTTACAAAAAAGCATCTTATAAACAGAATATGTTTTTGTTTGGATAAATTAGGACAACTTGCAAAACTTTCTTGTGGCTCCATCGCCCTTACGCATTGTGCTGTGAGGAATTGTGCTCCCTAATCCTATATGCATTTGTCAAAAGTAAATATTCATTGCGTATTAGGTACAGAAATTCAGCACTGTCCAATATATAAAATTCAGTTTTCAACAAATGTAGGAAGTAAATCTGTTAGATAAAACATGTTTCTGAGATCCCTACAACACGTTACCTGCCTGTTTAGAGCTTTCTTCTGCACATTTCATAATCATACCTTTCACTTTGAAGTGTCGTCCAATGTGCTTCGAGTTCAGACAGTGTAAATGTAATTATCAAATGGTATCTGCTCTTTTAAACTAGCCCTGCGTTGCTCAGGGTTTGGTTTAAAATGGTATTAATAACTATTAAAATTGCTTGCATAATATTGTACTTACTTGTATCACAGAGTAAAAGCTAGCCAAAAATGCATTAAGATAAATGGTGTTAATTTAGGTTTCCTTGATGTAAACCACTTATTAGCAATTTACTTGGAATCTGTAAGCTCGCATTAAGATCAAACAGGCAGTCCGTGAGGACTGGGAAGACCGACAGCTGGTGGGGTGCTGGCTGCTGGTTCGGAGTCGCTGCAGCAGCGGCTTGGGAACATTCTGTGTCTTGCTTCACTTTCTGCATCCAGTGATCACAGCCAGTGCTTCAGCTCAAAGGCCTTTGATCTGAGAGCGAGAGGGAAGGTATCCACCCCACAGGGTGAATCCAGGGGTAATTGGCAAGATTATTCTGTTTTTATTAGTCTACCGAGTTGAGCAAAACTGGACCATTCCACATGAGAGCGTTAGGGCAGAGCGGCTTCAGAAGTTTCTGTTTTTGGTCTTTTGGATCCCGTTCTGCCTTAAAAGCGGTTCCTCTCTTCCGTATTTAAGGAGTCTGATGCTTCCACCAGATGTATGGATGAAAACAACTACAACAGGGAACGGTGCTCCAGCTACTTCTTGAAGTACAAAAACTGCCGGCGATTCTGGGTAAGTCTGCCTCGGCGAGCCTCCTGTGCAGACCTGGCTCTCGAGACTGAGGCCTGAGGTTGGTTAGTAGCCGTGGCTCGCTTCCAGTGGAGGCCGTAGGGAAGCGGCCTTCTGGCCTTGGTGCTGCTGTGTCAGCACCGCCAGAGAATCCTGGGGAGCTTGTGCTGGGCTCTCCTGCTCCAAGGCACAGGAAGGCCGTTTCCATGCAACAGTCTTCCCGGGTGCGTAAGTGTCTGGCCCTACCGCGGTGACTTGGTGTGCATGTCTGTGTGTCTACATCGTGTATGTTTGGTACACGTCACACATGCCTGTAGCTACTCAGAGATACACATCCCCTCTTTGTCCCTCCCTCCTAATGTAGCTGAAGACTCCGTATTTTATTAGACTCCTTTTGGGGCTCCTTTCTCACTACCATTCGCAGTAGTTAAAATGGTCCCACCCTCCTCAGAGCAGTGATACAGAAGTGCTGTTTCCTGAGCTCTGGATCTTGCCATTCTCCCCTCTGCTGCGTGGACTGTAGCTCTATTTAGCAATTGTGCAGCAGCTTGTAGACTATGTCTATTCTGTGCCCTTGTGCTTCTAAAATACTTCTTTGTCCCAATTGCTGTTGACATATCTGTGGGAATAATACCTTCTATTTAAATGTTAATTGTTTGAAACATTTAATCTCCCAGAACAAGGTTTTTAGATTTTTTTTTTTTTTTTTTTTTTTTGGTGGA